TATATACTACTCTACTCTCTCTCTCTCTCTCTCTCTCTATATATATATACACACACACACACACACACACACTCTCTCTCTCTATATATATATATATATGAAAACAGACTGAAAAATTTGAAATGGCAGAGTAAAAGGCAGCTCTGCCAAACTGCAGTTAAAGCCTTTTAGCACACAGTTCTACCCCTTCCATCTGCATGCTTGACATTTTTAACAGTATTTAAAGGTAAACGAGGCACTTTGTGGCAACCACAGGCATCGTTAACATATTGCACAAATTTGCTATAACTAAACATGGAACTTGCACACTGGCACCCTATTTTTATTTTTTAAAGCTGAAACGTTTGATGCTGTATGTAAACTCCACTTTAGTTTACAATTTGTGCCACAGCAAAGAATCTTGATGCTATTTATACAACTGCCCTTAAATTAACTGTGGCAAAACATTTCGAGTGGGGCTACAGATGACTACGGATGGTACAGGGCCTAACAGTAAGCTCTTATGAAATGATGCCTTCAAGTAATTTCAGACATGTAAGCTGCTGCACATCCAAGAGTTTAAGTATACAGTCCAGAAACTCAGAGATTACCTACCGAATGCATTTCAAGCTAATTATGAATACTGTCATAAATAAAGTTTTAATAAGGACTCAAAAACCTTTCAGTCATAGTAATTCTTGTCAAGTTATATGGGGATGGTAACTGAAATAAAGTATAGGAGAGTATGTATAATATATTTTATATATATAATATATATAATATATATATATAATATATATAATGCCATTTTTCCATTTCCAATGACTACACCATAAAATGTAAGCAAGGCTTCTCAAAAACATTGAAACATTCATAATCAAAACCCTCATTCAGACCTTCACATTCCAAAGGAAAAACAACAACAGTGCAAAAGCCCATTATAATGTCATTATTTCCATTCTGGCCATCAATGTTACATACTGGAACCACACATTTAATTTTGATATCATGAGCCCAAAAGTGGGACATAGTACAGTGTCAAAATCAAAGTATTTTAAAGCATGAATATTTTTGTTTATTAGCCAACATGACTTTCAATTGCTAAAAGCAGACATAAGGTAAAACATGTATCAAGGCATAAAGTCTGGTCTTCAAGTAGCCATTGCCTGCTGGCCAATTTAACAATGGGAATTCCGAGTGCTGGACCAGCATTTTTGTTAAGACCTTAAAATCTAATTTAACTTATAAATCAGAAAATCCTATAACAAAGCTATTATAAGTTTAGATCATGAATTTGAGGAGCAAAATTGACCAATAAATATTGAAAAAGCATGTTACACCTTTGTTTACCAAAATTTAGGTGAATTTTGCCTTGTCTTTTTACAATTCATATTCTCGGTTAATGCTGTTGTACTAGGCCCAGATTCATTTGTTAACTCTGTAAGAACACAGCTAATGAACAATTTCGGCGCCAGTAAGTTAATTAAAATTGGACTTTACACCATAAAGTGTAAATTTTGGGGTAGATATTCCAAAAGTTTGAAGGTCATGGTGTATTTCATAGTGAACCGAATTTTTAAAAATGTCTTCATATCTGTATTCAACGGTAGTTGTACTCTGTTAAATTATCTGCAGTCTGAGCATGTCAATCACCATAATATTCAAAAGTGAAGCTCAATCCCTATTTCTGGCTATATCCCTATGAAGGAATGATACAACACTGCCAGTTTGGATATCTAATTCTTTTAATAGCAAACAACAGATAGAGTATTTGGGACATGTTCTACTTTTAAAAAGTACACATCTTTATATCTGTGCAGTGTTGAGAATTTATTGCAAGACTGGTTTCCTTTATACCATGTGTAATGTCTCTTTTTAAACATTGTAGGTACTAAGTATTCAAGTAAAATTCCCTAACAGTTAATGACATTTAAAAAAAAGTGTGCAAAACTGCAAAACTCATTGTAATGAATGTAATAGAATGTGTAAGGTCAAAGGGGTGGAAGGGCTGACAGCTGTTTGACTGAATAAATGCATCCATAAATCTTCAAAATAAACACTAACCTGTAGAATCTCAAATTGAAGTTTCTCGTGCACCGTTATAAAATATTTTATATTTAATGAGAAAAAAAGTTTGCAATGCAGCACATGAAGCATTCACAGCAGGTATATGATTGAAAAACTAATAAAATAAGTGTAAGATGTTGACTGATGTATGTACTAATAGCATCTGACTTCCAGCACTGGCCTTGATTACACAGGAGATGGAGCAGCCATTACAATTGAGAAAAACATTTAATAAATCATTGTCTTTTTTAGAACAATTGTTTCAAGCCCATTTTAGGTTGATAGCCTCCACATTTGTATGGTTAAGTCATTGTTGCTGTGTTTCTTATCTGTGACCCCATTATTTTCATATCCCTTCATTTGTGGGTCTTTAAGATGTTGTGGAAGGTTCATTCCTGTACCCCATATGGAATCACTCCCTCTAGCTGCCTTTTCTAGCACCATTATGCTTAAAAAAATAAAATGCACAAACAACAAGCAGTGACAGCGGCCGATTCCTCAAATGTCCAGGATTAATTACTGCAGCATGCTAAAGAAAGGTGCATGTAAGTAGCCGGATACGGTACATAGTCCAGGGTCCAGCATAATATATTCCTTTCAGAGCATTTCTTTCCATTCCCCTATCCAGAATACATGCATTAGAATGTAGTACAACCCTTTAGAAACTTCTCTTAGCCAACTGCGGACTTATCTGTTGCCACTTAAGTGCAAAGAAAGGGGCAGGATGTGAACCTGTATATCAGAAAGCTTTTTCCCCCCCCCCCAACTGCAGTTGGTGACAGACACAAAAGGAAAAATTCCTACGCATACACATCAGATCTGTCTCCACTTTTATAAAACTGGAATAAAATGGGAAAGTGCCATCTTTATATTTCCTAATTGAAATTTTAATGTCCTTTTGACACAAAAAGGTATATACATAACATAGCTACGTAACCTTTTTCAACTGGACAACAAGTGTCAAACCCTGTAGATTTATAGGGCAAAATAAGATTGGTCAGGAAAGAATTGTTCCTATAACTGGTAATCTGACACAATGTTCTATTGCCATTTGAAAAGGTCCTTTTTCAGTTTATTCAAGTTTGTCTCTTTGTGGTTTTTTTTCCCAGATAAAAAAAATATTCAGACTTTTGTAATCTGCGTATGCTGATCTTCATCAAAAGGTTCGTTCTCTGGATCAGAGTCAGTGGTGTCAGAATATCTATAATGATCAGGTTCATTGTCACTAACGTCCGGTGTTACTGAAGCAGAACTGCTAGCCTCTGGATTTGATGGCTCCTCTGTTTTTGTGAAAAATAGCTTCACCTAAGAAAGGAAGAAAAACAAAAAGTTAATATAGTCTGAGCTTTTCTTTCTTAAAGTAGTTGAGACAATACAGGCCAAACCTAAACTTGGAAGGCTTTGCTTGTATAGCTATACTGGTAAAGTGCTCCTAGTGTAGACACAGTTTACACCAGAAAGCTTATTCTAGCTCTGCCTAGTGAAATAAATTAAGCCAACAAAAGCACAGTATTGTTGGTAAAACTGCATCTACACTGGGGTTTTTTTGCCAGCATGGCTACATCAGTCACAAATCATACCCCTATTCAAAATAGATATAATGGCAAAAAAGTTTGTAGTGTAATCTTGATGACAGTATTGGCTTCAGAGATTGCCAAAACACATAGGTCCTTTAAAATCATTCTACCATGTACATTTGTTTAAAAACTTCCAACTACATACAACCTTCGATATTAAACTTTTGGCATACAAAATTCCAAGTCTCAAATCTACAACACTTACACATTTTTCAGTAGCACAAATGGTAAGAGTCATGAACCCATGTCAATAAACAAGTACCTTAGGAAGGGACCGTTAGGAGTTCCCACCACAATCATAAGCAATAAGAAACACCCAATTACAATCACTATTGTGCCCTTTGTGGCACTATTAATTACTCACTATCAATTATCCTTTTTCCCTTTACCCATCTTTATACAATTTATATATCAGTGGGTATTAACAGATGGTTAGAACAGTGGTTAAAACAGATGGATATTGTAGTGATGTTTCCAAATAGCAGAAGCATCCTCAGTTAAAAGTAGTCTTATGGCTAGAAAGATAGTATACAGAAATGGCATCTTCTTCCACAAATTGAATCCTCATGAGGATTCAGTCATGTCTATTCACTTAAAACAAGGTTGAACACTGAAGTAAACAGTGTTAATTAATAAAATTACAGTTACATTTACACTTGGGAACTGAAATGAATTAATTTGCTAGACTTGGTTTAAGCACAAGTGGTTCTGTACGTGCATCAATCATTTGTATTCTGAATCACTGCAGTTAACCATATCACCACCATTCTTTAGCACTCTTCTAAACCTTTTCAGTTGCAATACCTCTTCGGTTTCAAACAGCTCCGAGAGCAATAGATTCCAGAAAACTACTAAAAGCAAGTTAATCGAAACAATATTTGGTCACATTGTTCTGTGATCCCCCATAATTTTCATATTCCGTCATTTGCAGAATGTGTGTGTGGGACCAAAAGTTTTATAAGCAAGATAAGAGTACCAAAGGGTTCTTGGAACCAGACATTTCTTTAGTGGAGACAAGGACTTAAAACACAAGCTTCCGAGTGACATGAACGGAATCAGATTATGGATCAAATGCTGAGACAGGAAGCAGAGAGTATGCAATCCTGCACATCAAGGAACTCAACTCATCAAATATTTAGGGTAGAGCTGGTGGATCCACTTGTCAGCCCATGAAGAGGAAATACAAGCAGCATAGAGACTATTATATCCCTGAGGTTTCCTACTTGCTGCTAGAGTAGATGTGTCAAGTTTGAGTGTTTTAATTTTTCAGACCATGACCATAGTCATAATTTAGGCTGTGTAAGTTGATCAAAGAAACTCTTCAGAATTAAAGACAAAAGTTACAATTAAAAAAAAATGATATCTTAACTCCTGAAAAATCTACCCCCTTCTTCTTTTGCAATAATTCCAGGATCAGTTACTGAATTCTTAAACAGATAAACTTAAGCAATGACATATCCAGATACATAACTTTCTAGACTGAGGCAAGTAATATAACAAATGGTTCCTAGATAAACATGTTCTGATAATGCAGTATATATTAAATAACTACACACAGCTCTTCAAAATTCTGTTTATTCTATGCTCCTTAAAAAATACTGACCTTGAAGTTTGGAGAGAAATATCTGTTGGCTTTGTCTTTATTTGCCTTATCTAGATCATTTTTTGTTAACGTAAGGATTAGATATTCCTTGTCATTATCTGAGCGTTCTGTGCTGAAAATACCATCGAGTTCCTGATCTCCAACTAGACTTCCATTTTCTACTTTGTCTGAATTTTCATCCAGTCCTATGAAGAATGTATTTACCCAAAAGTGAAACATTTTGTCCTGTGGGAAAAAGCAAGCTTGCTTTAGTATTTACAGATGGTATATTATCTTATTTGAATACAAGCATCATCTGTTTTTTAAAAATTGATGAGTTTAACAATACCAAACCATGAAAGGCATAAAAATCTAGACAATACTACATCATTGCCACATCAACTGTCAGGAAGTAGATTTTCATTAGTCTTCCTACATAACGTACAGTCCTTATCTATATTAATCACCACATGGATTTTCCTCAGGTAATCAAATAATTTTATTTTTTTTAAAAAGGGTCTTTCATAAACCAAAAAGGCTTCAATAAATTAAATGGCCAAATATACAAAATGGGAGATTAAAAACTTAGTACAAGTAGCAAAAAGTGCCAAGAAAATAGTTACTAGGCATATAAAACAAATTTATTTTGTATACAGATACATACAGTAGCTGCTTCCTGACAGACAATCCTTACCAGGCTACTTGGATCAGTAGCACTGATAGTCAGTGAAGGACATCTGTTTTAATATTTGTAATTTAATTAAGTGTTCCATTCAACAGAATGTGTTGCTTTTCTTAATTTTATATGAAAAAAGTTTTGGTAAGAAAGAATACTTGTCAATACAGAAAATATCTGAAAAGGATTAATTTTATTCCCTTGTGTAGATCACCCAAAAGCAAGTGTTTGCTAAGATGGCTGCGGGGGGTGAGGGGGAAGGGGGAAAGAAAGAACAGGAGGTGAGCCCCTGGAAAAAAGTATTTGCAGACCTTCTGAAAAGAAAGGAAAGTAATATAAATGCTTATTGAGATGCCCAGTTATATTGCTGGCATATCTACTGATCAAATCAAGGTTGAAACATTCTCTCTTAAGCATTCCAAATGATCTGCCTTTGACAGTAAGCAGGGAATAGTTATTACCTGCAAAAAAGTATAAATCACTTTATCTTGCACTGCAGTGTTCCAGTGTGCACATGCAAACAGATGTAAATATTTAATCCAAGTCTCAGACTGATTTATACATTCACTGATGTAACATACAACTAATAAGTACCGATAATTTATGCTCTTGATTTTAATTAGAGGTGTTGTGGAATACTATTGCAGATGCCTGTTTTTTTCACATACATTCCTAGGCAAGCAGCTATAAAGATGTTCTATCCTTTACTGGGTTAAATCTCTGATGAAAGTTAAGATACTATTAAACTTAACCTTTATAACCCCTTAATATATGTAATGTCCACATCTGGTTTTCTCCTCCATACTGGCCAACTAATACCACATCTTCAATGCCATTAAAGTCTGGGTCCAGACTCTCTCTAAGATTGCTTCTCTCCCTGAAACCCACCATGACAAATTTACTTCCCTTTTGAATCCCCCCCCTCCTGACAAAACTCAAAATGGATTTTACCACCTCCAGAACAAAATGCAGAGCAATTTTTAATATTGCTACAGCCCTTCCCATAATAGTTATCCTGAAGAATGAACTGGCAAAATGGGGGGAGGAAGGGAGGGAGAGGGATGTGTGTCCACAAAAAAGCAATGGTATTAAAAAAACAACAACATTGAATGGTGTTATACATGAGTAGAATTGGGATTGGGCTCCATCTGAACAAATGAAACTATGTATTTTTATTAGTGCCCATATAACATGATGGAATCAGATACATTTCTAACAAAAAAAAAAGCCCAACCCTTCCAGACCACACCACAGTGCTGATGATTTGGAAGGGTTGAGGGTAGCACAGAAGCTGCGGTGGCTCTTCACCAATTCAGCATTCCTTATGCTGCAAGAATCTTTCACTAGCTTTGTATTTCATCTCTGCAACTGTTTCATTACTATTTTACATATACATCTGCATAAACACATCCTCCCGTGCATGTGTATATATTCGTCATTATAGAGAGGATATACCCACCTTCAAGGAAATTTGAAATCAAGGTTGGATTTGCAGATCCCTAACGGGGAGACAGGTGGCAATGAGAGTCAAAATTGCTTTTATGTACAATTAGCTAGAGAATTATCACTGTCCTCTAATTAATGTACCTCACTGATGTCATCTATGCCTTTGTGGATCTCCCAACTGGATTACTGGAATGCACTGCAAGTGGAGTTAGCCTTGAAGGCTATTGCAGAACATGGATCCCCATTCAGTCAACAATATCAAACAAGTATACATCATTTGTCATCCAAAGGCTGCATTCATTTTCTTTAGCTTCCAGGTGAAATTACATGTGGAAATCCACAACTTGAAAGTCATGTGTTGTCTGGGTCCTGGATACTGGACAGAAACTCTCCTACATGGCCAACATTTTAGATTAGCTGAGGTGATGGTGAACAATCACTAGATTAAGATGTTTGAACTGGGGGCACATCACTCTTGGAACTTGGGAACTAGGTCCACTCCCCTGGTCGCTCTGAGCTCAAATCCATTGGATCAGGCTTTATGCTATGCCCTGATGGCTAGAGCCCTGTGTGGATACAAAAATTTGTATCTGCATTTGATCCATGATCCACATAAATTGTCCGTGGATGCAAATAACCGCAGATATTTGTGCATTTGCAAGGCTCTGCTAACAGCTCCACAGGTCACCTGCCAAACCCTCAAGCACCACCCACTTCTCCCCAGGGACCTCCCGCCACCCCTGCTGTACTGTCTTCCCTGCTCCAAGCAGGAAGACTATATCCTGGGCCCTGGTGTGCAGCCCCACCTTCCCTACACAGCCGCAGCTGCTCTAACACATAGCTGCGCTTGGCTCACTGCGCAGGAGCACACGGTCGCGTTCCCTTCTGGGAGTTGTAAGCAAGCAGGGGACTACAACTCCCAGAATGCCCAGTGGGCTATTGCTGCTGCTGCACGATTCAGAGAGCTGAGCTGGAGCATGACAGCTGGGTGACAGTCGCTCTATTTGGGTGAGTGTGTGCTGCAGAGCTCTGTGCAGATACAAAATTTGTATCTGCACCCAAGCTGCGATCTGGAAAAATGATCTGCGGATATCTGAGGGTATAAAGCGGATATCCGCAGATTTGCATGGGCTCTACTGATGGCCATCTCCAACTGATCACATCTTTAATCCTTTGCCTGTGTGGATGGTAGGGCTATTCAAGGAAGGTGTCCATTTGACTTGTTAGTTTTCAATGTTCTTTAAACTTTTTATCCTGTACATGTCCTTGGAGCTTTTAAAATAGGTACAAATGAAGAGAGAAAAATGTAAAGTCTTCTTTCTAGAATTGCATATGTAAAAATATTTTAATTTTGACATTCAGTGTCTACACAGTACTCTTAAAAGATTAAGAGTGCTATGTCTCCACCACTTTTAATGCTATGGTCATTTAGCAATCCCTCTTCTTTATAAGGGACTATTTAACAGTTACCTAACTTGACAGGAAAACTGACAAAATATCTTCATTTCATAAAATATGTTGTCCTTGATGTAGACAATATTCAGCGGTTCTGGAGCTAAATTAACTCTTCCAAGTTACTGAAAATGCTCTTCAGTCACATCAAGGAGAAAGTTAACTGAAGTCTATCAGAGCAAGTGAAGCTTATTTTTAGTAACGTACAGTGTTCAAAATAAGGAAAATTTACTCACCTTGGACTTCTGCTTCTTTGACCATACCTTTCAGGATTCTCAAGCTTTAGCACCTTAGCACAAAGTGGTAGAACTACCTTAATTCGTAAGATTTATTTTAACCCTTACAAAAGCAACTGCAGTAGAATGTGAGCCAAATCCCCTACTGGACTTTAAGTGTCACCCACTTCCATTTATTCAACTGCACAGAAGGCAATGTTTCCAAAAAGGTAAGGCAATTCAAGATGGCCAATAAAAATATATGCCTGAAAAATAAACAAGACCAGGTCTGGGGTAGGTATCTCCCGAACACCTTAGGAAAACTGACGCAAAGAAGTCATTTAGCGTCTAGCAGTGACCTTATCTTCCTTAATTGGTCCATTTAGAACCTGGAAGCAACGGACCCAACTTTTGCAGGCTTCCTACTGCCAATATACAGTAGAATCTCAGAGTTATGAACACCTCAAGAACTGAGATTGTTCATAACTCTGAACACAACATTATGGTTGTTCTTTCAAAAGTTTACAACTGAACACTGACTTAATACAGGTTTGAAACTTAACTATGAAGAAAAAAGCTGCTTTTTTTTTTAAAGTAGTGTACATTTAACAGTACTGTATTTGCTTTATTTTTTTTGGTCTCTGCTACTGACTGATTGCATACTACCGGTTCCAAATGAGGTGTGTGGTTGACTGGTCAGTTCATAACTCTGGTGTTCGTAACTCTGAGATTCTACTGTACTTCAAGACAGAAACCAGGGGCTAAACACCAGGAAAAAATTTCAGTTGACCAATAAGGGATATCATTAAAAAAAATCCTCTTGGGTGAAGGGAGAGTGGCCTCCACTACCTTGAAAACAAGGTCTAAATCATGGACAGTCTGAACTGAAATTTTTTTTGGAGGCCAAATGTAAGCAATGATGGATACTTTCTAAATCTGTGGTTAAAAGACTATAGAACAACTTTGCAAAAACCGATGGAAGCATTCTTGAAGCAGGCAATGGTAGTGGTCTTGCTAGTGATCAAGACTTTACATGGTTTTTAGTTTAAGGCAAGTGAAGTTGTAAGCAATGCAAAATGCTTGCCTTCCTTCTCTAGTCTCTCCCTTTGTTTGTCTCCCCCCTAACCCCATCCCATCTCTTTAGTATTTGAGCACTTAATCTTTCTTCCTTTCTAACTGCAGGAACAGAACAATCTTAATTAGCTTTACAGGGTCTTGTGTATTCATATCCATGTGTGTGTTCATAAATATTAAATGTGTGTGCAAAGAAACCGAGGAAAGGCTAAGATGACACAAAGTTGGGGGGGGGGGGGAAGGAGGATAGCTCAGTGGTTTGAGCATTGGCCTGCTAAACCCAGGGTTGAGAGTTCAATCCTTAAGGGGGGCCACTTAGGGATCTGGGGCAAAATCAGTACTTGGTCCTGCTAGTGAAGGAAGGGGGCTGGACTCGATAACCT